AAATGTATCATGCAGGAGCTGGACAACCAGGAGCTCAGTAGAGCATCTCCAACTCAAACCCATTGCCATCCAACTGAGCTTGTGCCCAGGGATATATCTTCTTCCCCTTTCCTGAGGCGTAGTGGTACTGGGAAGGGAAAGTCCCCACCCTGCAAATACATCTGTGCTAGGAGAGAGGAGCTAGAGGTCAGCCCTTTTGGGCAGGCTTTTCCAAGCTAGGTTTATGGCTACCTGTTGTCCAGGAGAGAAATTATGAAGATTTGTTCCTGGTTGCTGACAGTTCCTAAAGGAATATAGTGGCAGGTGAGCCTGGGTTCATGGTAGGAAGGTGGAGAGTGTGAGGTGGTGACACGCTCCATTCCAGAGTGGAAAGGTGCTCAAGTCTCCTAGTGGGCTCCAGACAATCAGTACGGGCAGGACTCCCCACAGCAGCCCTTGGCACTGGGGTGAGATTGCCCTTGGGAGAATAGACAGCGTAGACAGGGGACATGCTGTGCTCAGCATAGTGTGTGGCCCTTGAGGGAGCTCCTGCTTGTTCCCCACTTCTTGCCCTGTCCCCTTCCCACCAGTTTATCTCGCTAGAGTCCGGACAGAGCGTTTACTCCCTATACAAACCCCATGCATTTCCCTCCCTCTTGCCCATACCTGCACTGGATGTGAGCTCCCAGGTGCAAGGCACATGCTTTTTGCTGGCTTTTAAGCTGTCTCTGTGTGTGCAAGTACTTGTGTGCTGTCACACGGACAGCTTGAGACCATCTCTGGCAGCATCACGTACGCTTGGAGCCAGGAACTCCCCTGGGCAGTCTTGGCCCCAAAACCCGACCAGGCAATCCCTGCTCTAGAGCCTGGTATTTCCTCCTAGGAAACTGGGTGAGCGTGCTTTGCTACAGGCCCTCGCCACAGGTACGTACTCGAGGGAGCTTGGGTAGTGACAGCAGCTGTCCCCTGGCTTTTGCCACCTCGAGACAGGCCTGGGGGACACCAGCCCCTGAGGAAGGGTATGTGGCCTGCAGAAGGGATGCTGGGCGTGTCGGGTGTTTGCCATTTGCCTGAGACCTTATGCACATATTGCTGGAGTGGAGCCCTTTGTGCCCAGGGATGTGGTGGGTGCAGGGGACAGCCCAGCCGCGGGGCAGGCAGGATGGTGCTGAGCGAGCTTTGGGTCTCCTCTGGGATGACTCCTCTCAGGTGCACTGAGAATACCTGTACAACAAATTTGATCTTTATTCTTTAAGTACAGGCCAACTCTTCAGATGAAAATATTTCTGATGTAAAAATATTATCTCAGTGGTTCTTCAAGCCAAACTGAAATGTCAGTGTAGAAAGTATGCTTAAATATATGTGTGTGTGTGTGTGTATATATATATGTATATATATATGTGTATATATATATATATATCCTCTAACACATTAGGTCACTGGCAGGACAATTAGCATCGTCTCAGTTGCCTCAAACATGCACGTAAGTTCTTTGCTCTGTTTTGCATTTGCTTGAGGATTTGGCTTTTAGTCTTTTTGGTTTTGGCAGAACAACTTTAAGAAGCACGCTGTGATCCTTGTGCACCTATTTCAAGAGGCAAGGCAAGAATTGCAGCCACAGGCTGGGAGCCTGCAGGAAGAAGAGTTGTGAGGGGCACAGAAGTTCCTGTGGAGGAGCCTGAGTGGGTGCTTGGCCCTGGGGAGGAAAGGTGAAGCGCACAGCTCGAAGTTAGCTCATGGAGAGACACTCAGAGCACTAGGTCTGCCACAGGAGACCCGTTGTGGTTACCAGCCTTGAGGCAAGGTCCAAATCAGGGTATCGGGTATCAGGATAGCAGGGATATTGGCTAAGAATGAAGAGTCTTCAGAGTGTGACTGAGCAGCTGCTTGCCCTGGAGGTCCAGCTGACCTGCAGGGGAGCAGCGCAGGGGTGGCTTTGGGTTTGCTAGCTCAGCCTGTGGCAAGAAGAGCAACCCTGGAGCTTTTAGGGAAGGAGACAGTGCCGGAGCCCCTGTGATTGCAGCTCATAAGGAAATTACAGTCACCACAAGCTGTGGGCTGTGAGTGCCAATTGCTGGGTGGATTCATCTCAGCATTCCTGGGAAGCAAAAATAGCCCCTGAACCCTGTTCTTTGGCTGGGGGCACAGCGGTGACATCCGTGCGCGGAGACAAAGCGGGGCCGAGGTCTGTGCCCAGGGCTGGCCCAGCAGCGCCGCCCTGTTTGGTGCTCAAACGCCGGCCAGCGCTCCCGAGGGGTGGCAAGTACCGGGGCCCGCCCCAGCGGCACCGTGGGGCACAGCCGGCCTGTCTGGGGAGAGGAGCAGCTCTAGGCACGTGGCCAAGAGCTGTTCCAGCTGCTTGACCCCAGAGCCACGCAGCAATCTCAGGTCTGTGTTATACAGTGGTTTCAATGTCACAAAACAAAGCTGCGTCCGCCTGGCGTCTGGAGGGGTGCCCATGAGGCAGGGTGTGCTGTTTGTACAGACGGTGACCCTGAAGGCCTCCTGCCAGCCATGGCCAGAAGCTCCCCAGAGCACGCTGGCCTGGGGCCAGGAGGGGGAAGCAGGTGGACCCGAAGGCCATCCTCATGCTGCTCCCAGGAACGCAGCGCAAGGCCATGGACAGGCGCTCTCAGGACATCTGGAGCCAAGCAGGAGCCAGATCTCCTCCTGGGCCACCCACTGGGACCACACAGAAATCCCTCTCCAGCGCTGGCAAGCTCAGCTCCTGGAGGCCACATCCAGTGCATCTCCCTCGGGACATAGGAGCTGGAGACGCGTCTGCCCACCAGCCAACGGACCTGAGGTTCAGAACAGCTCCCCCTGGTCCCAGCTCATTGGGGTGTCAAGAGGGTGGGAGGAGGCAGGCGGGAGCCCCTCCGAAGGGGAGAGGGCAGCCTTGTGCTGCGATGCAGAGCTATCCAGGGATGTGCTGCGCACCAGCTGCAAATGCAGTGCAGGAGGCCGGCACTGAGCGGCGGGGAGATTTTGTCCTTAGTGGAAGAAGCAGAGTCTCAAGGAGACTGGTCTGTATAATTGGCTCAGGAGAGTAGGCCTCTTAAAAGTCAATTAGAGACTTTTAAAAATAAATCAGGCTGGAACATTGCTAGATCTGCCAGAAAATTTAGGCGAGGTCAGAGTTGCTTAATGTTCACTGTTGATTAGGTTCTGCTTCTTGTTGGGATAACTTGTGTGCGCTGCGTCAGACTGCTCCGGAGACTCAGCCAAGAGAGTGCTTCCAACATGGCCTTTTAAGGCAAGGTGGGTGAGAGCGGATGGGCAGCCTGATGAACACAGTATATGATGTTGAGGGGTGGGAAAACAGGGTGTTTTCCTTAGTCTGCCCTCTCTGCGCCTCAGCTTTCCCTTCAGTGAAGGACTTGGAAGTTTGTGGATCGGAAAGGCTAAGGGAAGGAATTAGAGTGTTCTTTTCTTGAGTAGAAACTGCATTCAAAGAGCAGCACCAAGAGTCTGTCCAAGTTAAAAATGAGTGCAGGTATGTATGACAGCATGTGATGCATGCAGGTAACTGCTCCTCACACACATGCACGCAGAGGGAGATGAAGATCCTTCAGGCCTTGGTGCAGGGGCAGCGAGCAGGCAGTTAGAGCATCCTCCCATGTTTCCACACCCCAGCAACACCACCCTCATAGGCTTTGAGCAGGGATGGTGTTTCCCATGAAGACCTGGTGAAACAAAATAGCAGTTCCAATAGCAATAGTTCCAACAGCAGTTGCGATAGCAGCAGTTCCAGGACAGTCAGGAGGAGATCCGTGAAGTGCTCTGTGGTGGCATTTGTCAACACATTGGGGCTGGGGTGGTAGTTGTTGGCAGCAGCTCCCAGGGCCAGGAGCAAAGGGACGGGGGTGTGAGTGCTACAGGAATGTGTGCCCTCGCCCTCTGGCACTGGGAATGCAGACCTAGCAGTGGACACTTGGGGTGCTGAGGAGGTTTGTGCTAGAGCTGTGATGGCAGAGGGTGAGTCCATACATGACACTTTAGAGCTGCAGGGTCAGAGAGTTGGGGCCTTTGCAGTCTGTTACAGGATGATGGTGTGCCGTAGAGCAGAGAGAAAGCCGGAGCTGTGAAGATACATCTACTTCCAGCTTCATCAGTTACCTGAGAGAAGAGAAGCTGTCTCTTGCCTCCATTTTAGATTTTGGAAAATGTATTTTGTGGGCTACAGGGGCTTAGGAGATGTGGATTCAGTTTCTGACTCTGTTCTCAACATGTTGGATGACCTTGGGCTGGTCACCTCAATTCTGGTTTAGTCTTCCCTCTTGCAAGGGGGAAACGTGACAGGCCTCCTTGAGAAACTCTTGGAAAGGTCATAGAGAAAAGCTCTGGCTAACGGCAGTGAGAAGCCCCATGATAACCATGATCTGTCCCCACAGGTGGGCTCAGCTCAGGCAGGCTTTTCACTTATAGACTGGGCCTCTGCTGAGAGATATTGGGTGAGTTAACCATTCTCCAGAGAAATGTAGGCTGATGGCGCTCATGCCTTATGCTCTGGGTATTTGTCCTGACGTTTGTCACCTCCACTGAGCAGAGTGCTTGACATCCTCGTGAGGGTAATCACCGAGATTTTCCTCAGTAGGATGTAGGCATGGAAGGGAGAATGAAGCTACTGGCAAGAAGTGAGAGAGCAATAGTACGTTTCAGCAGTTCAGTGTAGTCAGCTCTTTGGCCCAGTGGTCTGCTTCAGGGAAGGGCTCACAGGATGGCTTCAGGCAGAGTTCCTGTCTCTCTGTACCCAGTTTGGAAATGGCTTTGCGCCGCTTGGGCCTGTCATCATTCAATGGAAATGTCCTGTTGCCTCTTCTCTCTTCCAGCCACATCCCCAAGCCTTCACTTAGGGCCTAGGCCCAACCTCTTAGCATCTCTAATGACTTTGATCGTAATGCACCCCAGCAGCGAGCAGCAGGCCTCCAAAGTAGGGTGAGGAGCCTGGATTTCTTGAGAAGCTGAAAGAGCAGAGGATCGATTGGTAGACTAATGTGGAGTGTCTGTTTCCATTACAGCAACCACCCCCTGAGCCAGCTGGTTTCTGACTCAGACTCGGAGATGGACAGCATGGAGCAGCTTGCCCTGGGCAGCACGGACACCCTTTCCAATGGGCACAAGGCTGACCTGGAGGCTGCCAAACGCCTTGCCAAGAGGCTCTACAATCTGGATGGATTTAAAAAAGCAGATGTGGCCCGCCACTTGGGGAAGAAGTACGTGTGGGTATTCACAAGAAATAGCCTGCTCTGCAGGGCTGCCATTCCGCCTGCCTGGCCCACTGGTGCACCCACAGCTGCCCTGCAAGGCACTGGGTTGTCAGAGAATAGCTGGAGGGGCCCCAAAGCCCTCTCCCCACAACAGCCTGCCTGTGCCACACATTCCCTCTGCAGCTCTTAGCACCTAAGAGACACCCAGGTTTGATACCCTCTGCTATGATTTCATCTTGGTGGGGATGCCTTTTGTAAGGCATCAGAGTATAGGGGACTGGCTGGCTGACCTTCCTTGGGCCCTTACAGCTCTATCTTCTCTGATTGTTCTTACTTGCTGTATGCTCCTGTTGGATCTGTGGGTGATTCCTCTGAGCTCTGTAGAGTGTATATTCTCAGTGCGCTCTCTGACTTCTTGTCTCCTGGGGGGCCCCCAATCTACTGAAATCCACTCCATTTCTCTTCTTCCTGTCATCACCATGTGGGGACATTGCTGTCCACACAGTCTGGTCGATCCCACTCTCGCTCCCTCCTTTCTTTTTCAGCAATGAGTTCAGCAAAATGGTGGCAGGGGAATATCTGAAGTTCTTCGTATTCACAGGGATGAGTCTGGACCAGGCTCTCAGGTCAGAACTCTGTGTGTGTGCATGTGTGCATGTGCCGTGGCCACCTGAACGGGTCCAGCAGATCATGCCTTCTGCAGCTCCTCACCTGTGCAGAGAGCTGCAGGAACAGGAAGGCCCCACTGCTCCCACTTGGAGATCTCCTTACCTCTTAAATAGCGGGATTCATTTCCCAAAGCGCCTTCCGAGCCACACAATGAAGGAAGAGCATCCCTGGTCTTAGCTCATGGGCCAGTGCAGTTTAGGAAAAGTGAGGCTTGCCTATAACAGAGTTGCCAGTCTTTGAACACAGAACCTTTGGTGCCAACCCAACCTCGTTCCCCAGTATAGTCTCTAGTGCTTGACCTTAAGTCTGTGCTATGCTGGCTGGGTATGATGCCAAGGACTTGGAACAGAGTCCTGCTGCTGCCTGAGCAAGGTGTAAAAAATTGGGACTTCACACGTCACACACGGGGCTAACCAGGAGGGGACAGAAAGGCAGTTCCACTCCCACTAAGAGTGGGTTAGAGAAGCTGCCGGAGGACTGGGTTTGCAACTTACACTGCTGCTGCTTCTTTTTCAGGTCCTTTCTAAAGGAACTGGCCTTGATGGGAGAGACACAAGAGCGAGAGCGAGTGCTGGCTCATTTTTCCCAACGTTATTATGAGTGTAATCCCAATGCCATCTCTTCTGAGGGTAAGAAACACTCTGTGTACATGTGTGTGTGTAAGTGTGTCTGAGTATTTCTACTTGAGTGTGTTCGTAAACTTGGAGAAGGTGCCTGAATAAAACCAGAAGGCAGTCTGCAAGCATGTACTACTGCCTTAGGCAAAAGCCCCTGTTACAGTGATGCCGTCATTTCCCTCAGACCACAAGTGCTTTAGATAGTTCTATTAAAACCTGCTCCAGTCTGAAGATGTGCGATTAGGGCTCAAACCATCCTTAATTCTGACCTTGAGCAGATTAGCTTCAGAGGCAAGAGAAGGCCCTCCTCACCACACAGACCCAGCCCTCAGATCCATGCCTCAGGGAAGTCAGGTGAGAAAACTGGGGTATGGCACTCAGTGGGGCCTAGGGAAGCACCCAGATTGTATTACTTTACCTGAATGTTTTATGTCTTTGCACCTTTCTTCTGTGTGTTCACATGCTGAAATCTGCCCTGGTTTGGCTTTGTAGGCAAGTGAGTTTTTGGCTGTCTGGCTGAAGAGGGCTGTATCGTTGCCACTTTGGCCGTGCTGGGAGCCGTACAATATTAGTTCAGCATCACTGCCTGGCTAAAGCGGCTGCAGGGTTGGAAGGGAGTTTGGATGCCCAGTTTTGGGATCAGCTTTAATTCAGTGGCCTCCTATTGACTTGCTGATGTGCTGCCAGCACCATGCCTACTGCTGCGTGTCCTGTGTGCCCAGGGTGGGAGGAATGGGCTCAGCACCGTCTTGAGCTCACCCAAAGGCATCATGTCCCAACTGACATCCCAAATGGATCAGGTCCCAACTGCAGGGCAACTTCTGGGGCTCTGATCACCTGTCCTGTGCTTGTGCTGCAGACGGAGCTCACACACTGACCTGTGCCCTGATGCTGCTCAACACAGATCTTCACGGACACGTAAGTTCCCTGTGCTCTCAGCCTGGTCAGTCCCCTGGCCTTTCGATCCTGAACTGCAGGTCCCAGGGGAAGAGTGAGGAATTCCCAAGGACAGAGCTGTGTGAGCGGGAGGCACGAGGGCTGTGCAGCCTGCCCTGGTCCCACAAGGGCTGATCAACACTAAAGAGTCTGTGGATGAAAGAGGAGAAAGTCTAAATAAGAGTGGGAGCTGGTGACAGAGAGAATGAGGCTATGGAGGAAGACACATCAAACTGGAAGATTTGGGGTAGGGTGAGGAAACAAGACAAAAGCAGGCAGGGGGAACTCCTGGAGTCTAAGTAAAGCAGGAGGCTTCTCCACACCTCAAACTGCCCTTCCTGAGAGCTGGCTGACCACTCACCTGCACCAGAGAACAGGAAACTTGTTCCTGGGCTGTGGGAACCTTTTCCAGACAACAGTGCTCCCCTAGCCCTAAGGTAATGCCCTACATTTCTCTTCCCTGGCTTCCTCAGAATATCGGGAAGAGAATGTCCTGCTCCGACTTCATTGGCAACTTGGAGGGGCTCAACGGAGGCAGTGACTTCCCCAAGGAGCTGCTCAAGGTAAATCCAGTTGCTTTCCCTGGTCAGCTGAGCAGCAGGAACAATGACTGGAGTTTTGGATGGGATCACATGGGTGACTGCGTGGGATGCATTGAATGTGTCCATCGTCATGCTTGTGTCAGACTGTTGGAACTGAGGCAGCAGTAGTGATGTTCTCTTGGCTTGGGGATGGGCTTTGCTTCTGTGAGATTTGCTGTGTTCTGAGGTTGATCAAAGCTGCTGCCATTCGCAGGCAATAGTTGCCCAACTAAGTGTTCTCAAAGTAACGCCAGGTTTTGAAAGCCTTCCACCTGCTTGGTGGACGCTTCACGTGTACACAGGGCTGTCCAGCAGGCAGGAAAGCGGCATGCTGAATAACCAGGTATATCTGACTGTTGTGGCCCAGGCTGATTTTGTGGATGAAAACAAATGAGGAAGGTTTAATAAAAATGGGTGGTTACTGCTGCCAACATCCTGTAAAGGACTCATGAAGTCCCCAAGTGCCCGACCATGGCCAGCAAAGCCAGGGTGGCATTCCAGCTCCCCAGGGGGGCCTGCAGCTGAGGCACCTGGGCACCGCTAATGCAATAAAGGACTCATGAAGTCCCCAAGTGCCTGGCCATGGCCAACAAAGCCAGAGAGGCATTCCAGCTCCCCGGGGGCTCCTGCACCTGAGGCACCTGGGCACCGCTAATGCAGCTAGGGCGAAGGCAGCTCACCACGTGCACAGCAGGCAAGGACACAGTGCTGGGAGCACCCAGGATTTCCCCAGGACTCTGGATTGAAGTCCTGGCTGCCCTCACCTCTCTGTTCTGGGGGCAGGAGGGGGAAGCCTGGGTCAGCTTTCATGGGGTTGTGGTGCCCAGCTGCAGCCTGAGGCTTTACAGCATTATCCCTTTGGCACTTGGACCTTCCTGGCTACCCAGAGAGGGCCTGGAAGCAGTGGGCCATGAAGCCATGCTGGTGAAAACGTTTCTGGTGATGTGAGCAAGGCACAGCCATGGGAAGGGTGGTCAACAGTTGATGCCCTGGAGCTGGGAATGAACCATGCTTCTGCAACCTGCCAGGGGGTCCTGCCTCGCCGTGTGAGCCGGTTCCCGCTGTCACACTTCACAGGGGTGTCCAAATGCAGGGGGTGAGGTGCCTCCAGCCGGGCTAGGGAAGGGCACGGCATCCCCGGCGCGGCGAGGCCGGCCCGAGCACGCTGCGGGGAGGCTGCTCGGAGGTGGGGAGAGGGCCGTGCCTTGGTGGGTGACTGTGGCAGGGCCCTGGCAGGGGCTGGTGACGGTGGTGTGAGCTGGCTCCTTCCCGCTGAGTCATGTGGGGAAGAAGCAGGGAGGGGAGCTCCCCTCAGCCTGGCCATGAGCCGCAGCCCCTGGCACCCGCTCAGCGAGTGCCCCGCCGCGCTGCGACACGGCCCTGTGGGCGCTGCAGTGCCGCAGCTGCCAACGCAGCAGGGCCGGCGGGGCCCGGCAGGGCTCAGCGCGGAGGCACCGCTGGGCCGTGGCCTGGTTGCATTTTTCTGCCGTGTCCCCCTTTTCCCGGCCGGCACAACCGGTGCGGGAGCAGAGCAGCTCGGTGCGTGTGTGCGCGAGGGAAGCGCTTGCTGGCTGTATTGCGGGCTCTGATGAATGCAGGGAGGTAGGGGACAGCCTGAAGGGACAGCCTGACCTTGAGGCTCATGTGTGAGCCCAGGAAATGGCTTCCCTCCTGTCATCGAGGTGCACCTGCGGCCAGGTGCTTGCTATTTCTGGGCCTTTGTTTCCCCATTTTGGGCCATGAGAATAGGATTAGTTCCCAAGGCAGTTGCAGGCCAGAAATCATTTGTGTTTGTGAAGTGCTACAGCTGGAAAATACTCATGAAGTGGAAGACGGGCTTCCACGGGGCATCCACAACACTAGTGGGGGTTAATAAACAACTGCGGTGCAGGGTGACAAGCTGGCTCTGCTTGCAGGCTTCCATGGGCCTATTCCTGGCTGTGTCGCTGGCCCCATCATTAAGGGGTTAGCAGGAGCTTGTCCTCCCTCTCAGCCCACACTTCTCCAGTAAAAGGAGTTACGTGTTACGCAGAGGAAAAAAAAAATCTTATCTATTTTTAAACCCAGCTGCAGAAAAGGCTTTAGGCACCCAAAGCAGAATAGAAACACCCCAAATAAGGACCCTGGACCTCTGCTCAGTGTGCTACTGTCGAAGCTCCAGACTTGCTCTTGTCTTCTACCGGGGACCTTGCTCCTGCGTTAAATTTGCACCCCCAACAGCACTGGCAGGGGAATGAGCAGTGTCTGTCAGATCTCAAGCAGGGTGAGATAGGGCGGCAAGTGGGTGCTGGAGGGGCAGGTTTTGTGTTTGCGTGGCACAAGCCAGTGCTGCTGCCGGGCAGGGGCTGCGGGAAGGCTGCAGAGCTGCGCCAGCTGAGCAGCGAGCGCAGCCCTGCGCAGCTCTGCCGGGAACCCAGCAGCGGGGAGGCTGCTCTGCTAAAAATGGACTGTTCCCTCTGCAGCTGCAGTGCTTCCCACAGTTGCCTTTCTGCCGCCTCTGTATCGCAGCCGTGCTGGGGAGGGGGAGCAAAAGGCATCTCCGAGGAGCGGCACAGGGGCAGCCTGCAGCTCCTCCATCCCGCTCCTCTGTCCCCAGCGCTGGGGTCCCCCAGAGAACCTCTGGGTGCCCGTGGGAGAGCGTGGGGCACGGGGCGGCTGCGCTGTGGGAAGTGCTGCTGCCCGGCGCTGCTGTGGGGAGCAGCAAGGAAGGGGTGAAGGAGGGGCCGCAGCACCGGGCCCAGCCGCTCCCCAGCACCCCCGCCCGGACCGGCGGAACCACG